AGGTTCTGAGGAAATTAAAAGGCAACAAGTACGGGTTAAGCCGAAACGCAGGGCTCGGATGAAGATGCGTGCTTGTGAGGCAACCTTAGCTCCCAGAGTTCGCCTCCTCCTGAACTTTTCCGTAACTTTTAAAAGCATAAAAATGGATCTCTTACATCAGATGGGCCAAAACATCGGGATAATGTGTGCCTTCGGAGTACCGATGAGCAATTATTCCGATGAAACGACAATGGCAATGCCATGTGCATAAATAGCCACTTCTGCGGTAAAGTGAGCATAGAAGTCACTAAAGCTCAAGGGAGCTCGCCAGAAATATGGAACTGCTGAAAAATGGCATTTGGGGGATACTGCAACAATGGCATGCAAAGTTTATGGCCTTGCGAAATCAACCCAAACCAGCATGCTGAATTTCCACTCACGTATAATAATTTCACTCGAAGCCATGCATAAGCCGCGGACATATTAATATCATCTATTTGTTACCGTTAAAGGTGAGTATAACTAATTGAAGAGGTCGAATAGAAATGTTTTCCGGCCAGGTGAGGAACCCTCGTTCTTTTCGCTTAAACTTGAAAAATACATCTCAGGTTCAGCAGTGTTAGGATAAGCACGTAAGCGCATGCCGTGGATCCGACAAACTCGCTTTCTAAGCATGCCTTTGGTGATCAGCTTCCTCATAGCATATGATGAGTTAAAGGAGGTTCTTATATGACAGCATACAAGTTACTGAAAATGCTTTTGTTCAAAAAACCATGAAGTTGTTTGGAGGTCCACAGACTCTGTTCTCAAAATATAATACACAACAAAACATATTTTTCAAAACAGAAATATCGCGTGCCTTTGAAAACAACTTGCCGCAAAATTAAATTTTCTGCAAAGAACTGTCAGAAACAAACGTTTATTAATGATTTCAACGAAACGTTGGACTGCACAGAACATGGAGACGAGTGGTTGGTCTCCTTTCCAAAGCCAAGGTAGCTAGGACTAATTAAAGCGAAGAATTGTCTGTGCTCGCTCTAGTGTGAGACTATATCCAATCAATGTATTAATTACAAACCCCAAGAAAGAGCTTTGAAAGTTGAAATTTAAGGTAAGGATTTCAATCAACCGTGCTTGCAGTCCGGTCACATCCTAAACCTCCACCCTCCTTATTTGTCTGCTTTTGGTCGCAAATACCTTCGGAAAGCTGGAATGGCAATTTTAAGGGAGTAAGGACTGGTATTAACGGTAAGTATCTTTGCCACGCCAAACGAAGCAGTAAAGAGGTCTTTTAGTCACATGGACCCTTCAAACACCCTGGCGAAAAGCTAACTCCATTGCAAAGGGGAAGATTCTCCCAATTGCTCGGCTAGAGCGCTAGGCTGAGAGCCAGTGAGCACTTATTGATACTTCCAAATTTACAGAAGCAGTGACTTTAACTATTGTTGGTAAGAACAGCCGCATTTTCATTAGGTTAGTAAAGTCTACATGGTGCAATTGACCTTGGAGTAGTAGGATTGGCAGGTCATTTGTCAATCACCAAAAGGCTGGCGTTGGTGCTAATAAAGGACCTTGCGAAGCTCAAGGTCATCCAGGGGAGGCTTGTAATAGAGAGCTATAAGGACTGTCAGAAATCGAAAAAACGAGGTTTAATGAATTCACATTTGAGCAGAGTTAGTTGAACTCGCCGGTGTGGCAGAAACAAAGTACACTTTCACCCCTTCACTTGGACATCCTATAAGGTCTCGCGGTGTGCCGGAATGCACCTGTCACAAGCGAATAGTCTTTCTAGCCCAATCCGATTTCGGCAGTTTTGCAAATTCTTTTGATGTTGATTTTTTAACCCACAAACATGATAGAGCACCAGCGATAGATCGCACGTCACTGTGGATTTTACTTTTCTTGGCGGAGTTCACATAATCTGGAGGTGTAAAAAAGGTAGAGGTGGTATTTTTGCTGGGCGAACGTCGCTGACATTTATAGCGGCTATTAATTACCTTCCTCGTCTATTAAAAAAATCGAATCCGGCCCGG